TGCTTCACAGGATATTTCTATCATGATGAATCAATGATATACCATGGAAGCATGACTACATGACACATTCCTTTATTACTCAGAACACAAACTGGTTTTTTTTTTACTTGTGGCTGAAGTCACTGCTAGCAGTGACTGTCAGTCAATAAAATGAGTCCGTGACTCTGTCAGATTCTTTTGGGAAATCAAAAATAGCATGCTCTCTGTCTTCAGATGCCCTCAGGCTTGCTAGGGAGATATGATCACACATGAAACAATTAGAGAATGGTGCAAACAAGTTCAGAATCATATGCCAATTTGAGTCACAGTTTGAGGCTCTGACTCTCACTCAGTCTTAAGCTTGCCAAAGCCTTAGCTATGCCCAGTTACGTTCCAGAAACCTCTTCACATGCTGTTTACTCCCCCAGAAGATGAACATCTCCTCTCAAGCTATGGGCACAACATCCCACAGGCATAATCATGAGCCAGGGCCTGATGCTTTCAAATGTATTCAGGGTCTTCTGGCAAGGGCAGCAGGCTAAAGCAGCTGAGTGCAGCCGGAACCAAGCTCAGATGCTTTCCCAATTCAACTGCTCTGTGTTTAAACATTAAAGTATGCAGTTAAGATCCCTGGTTCCAGGCCTTTAATTTCAATTTCCAAAGCCTAGCTCTGGCCTAATTCAATGACTCTTGTTTTATATGTGACAACCTTGTTCTTTTTTTATTGTTTTAATTGAGGAAGGGAACTGTAAGACCTGCTTGGTCACCATAAGTACCAGTCGAGTGTTCTTCCAGAGAAGTTTCCATCAAAGTTGAGCCTTCTGTCAAGATGTGGAGACCCTTAAGACTGAAGCGATTCAATGACTTTGGGGTGGGGGAAGGTGCGTGTTTCCTGTGGAGGCTCCTTGGCCACCAGCCGTCGCAGAGATGCCTGCACTGTGCTTGGGCAGAGCCAAGTGTGAGGCTCCTGTAGCTCTCACAGCTGTGCTTACAGAGAATGTCTGGACCTGAAAGTCTCCATCATAATGTCAATTGAATTCCTCCCAAAATGAAAGCTGTGGCCATTTATTAATAAAAATAAAAGCCCACATCTTCACAAATGTTTTTCAGAATAACTTGTGGGTAAAGAAACTCCTTGGAGCTTTTCTAAAGGAAATGCTGGATGTACTTTCCAAAACTTCAGTTGGAAACTAAACAGAATCCAAATGTCCTGTCCTGTAGTTGAAAGCAAGTACCATTTTTAGAGTTAGGTTTTGCTCAACCTGCTGTATAAGGTTGTGCTAGGAGCCTCTGCTTTTAGCGAAGTTTCCTTCTGTTCCCTGGAGCAGAACTGTTTCATTTCACATTTATTTGCTTCTCCATTAACACCTTTTTCTCATCCCCAGGAAAACAAAAACAAAAACAAAAACTAAATTGTTGGTTTTCATAGAAACATGACAGTGTACAATATTGCAACCTAAAAACCAGACCAAAATAGAACAAATACAAGATACACAGGAGTACATTCACATAAATTAATGTTAGAGATACTGGCAAATAATAGTTTATGCAATATTTGCTCTAGCTGTTCAAATAAACAGGACTAAAATAACTTTTCTGATCATGAAATCAAGTGTGAAAATTGAGGCAGTACATGTGCAGATTAGCAAAAAAATGTTGTTATATTTGAGTTTGAGCTCAAATTCTCCCATCTAATAGCTCTGTGGCTTTGGGAAAAATAATGATTACTTTAACATTTATTGAGAATTGTTACCTGCCAGACTCTGAACTAAAGTACGTCACATGGTACAGAATATTTCCGAGTCCCTTTCCTTTTCTGTAGGGTTATGATGATTATACACACCTTATATGTTATGAAGAATATAGAAAAGGTATGTTAAAGACCTAGCCATAGAGTAGGTGATTATAAAAATGGATGTTTTAAAAACAAAAATGGAATGTAGTAATAACACTGCTAATATACTTAAATAGCAATACAATTCTCATTCTACTTTCAGAAGCATCAGTACTAAGTGAAGAAAATAATCTAGAAGCAGTGATCTGAGTTCACATTAGGGTTGTGGGTTTTTTTGTTTTTTGTTGTTTGTTTGTTTGTTTGTTTGTTTTAGATGGGCTGCAGTGCAGAAGTCCATTAGATATCTAAATGGACACAGTCAATATCTAGTGCAGTGATCTCTGCTCACTGCAGCCTCAAACTCCAGGGCTCAAGTGATCCTCCCAAATAGCCTCCCAAATATCTGGGACCACAGGCATTCACCGCCACAGCCAGCGAATTTTGCTTTATTTTTTATAGATCAGCCTGTGTTGCCCAGGCTGATCTCAAACTCCTGGGTTCAAGCAATCCTCCTACCTCAGCCTTCCAAAGTGCTGGGATTTAGAGGCGTGAGCCACCATGCCTGGCCCATATTATGCATTTTAACAAGTGAAGAAAGTAAAGCTAAGAATAACTAATGCAACATTATCTGTATCAAAGTAAAATTCTAAAGAACAAAAAGCATCCAATTTCTCCTTGATGTTCCTTAGATGTGACATTCTATGTTATGAGATAAAATAAATTTCATTGTAGTCTTAGAAGAAAGTTATTAAACTAGTTCTTTTTTTATTCTACCTTTATTAACTTGTTCTGTAAACTTGAGGAGTCAATTAACATTTTCCTGTGTCCATTTAGATATCTAAAAATAACTCATTAGAGGTTTTATTTATTTGCAATTTCACCTAGAACAATGATAAGGATAATGGGATTTAAAGAAGACTTTGACTTAGCATAATTCAGCAAAGCCGTGTTGGTTTATTGAGTGAGACATATTTAACACATTTGCAGTGCCTATGAATGGACAACGGTGATCCACTGGAATTTTTGTTCCATTCTGTGATGTCCGTAGGGAAGTTGTTGGAGGCTTTGGGAGGCCATATCAATAGCACACTGAATAATAGTCTATTTCCTGGTTCCTCTGACCCAGCCAGGGCATGTATTTAATGGTTAAACGAGATGGAAAAAGGAAGAGTGTGTACATCATGCATCCTGAAATAGAGGATGGAACAATGTGGAAGTAAAATTATTAGCCAAAATCCCTCTCAGAAAAGGTCTATGCTTCCTGCGGCCAGTGGTGGTTTGGAATAGTTTTAAATACAGCTGGGGAGTCTAAATCATAGACTAAATCCTAGACTAGATATAGTGGAAATGGCCACATGTGCCTATTATCATCTCTCAAACTTGAGATGGGCCAGTGATGTTCTCATAGATACCTTTGGTAACACTAATGCCAATTGAGATGAAGGTCGAGTTTTGGGGCTACTTTGAAAACCATGTGAAATTTGGTTTGTAGTACTCCGAGTGACCTAGAAGAATGCATACTAACCCACAGAACGTTCTTGGCGTAGAAACTGAAGTTCAAATTGGCATTTTTAAACATGTTGGATTTATTTTACTGTCTCTGGCTCATAAAAGAGTAAGTTGGCAGAAAAAAGCAAGTCTTAACTGGATTTCTGAGTTGTACATTCATGGTTACAGTTTCCACTGTGACTATTAGAAAATAAATGAAAATGTAAGTGTAGAAAATGTAGCCTTTTGCATGAGGGCATCCTATGGGCTGATTACTTTTAGAAAGGTTTGGGGACCATAGGGTAGGTTTAAATAATAATTATAACCTATAAAAGGATTGGAAATTGGAGAACAAAGGTCATTTGTGCTGAGGGTTGGGGATTTTACATGCAGGTGGATTGGCAGAGGGGAAGAAGGTTGCTTTCGTTGAGTCACATCCCTGTCCACAGAATTTCTAATTTTAATTCAATGGAAGTGCAAGGAAAACCTAACAGAGTGAGAAGTACATCATCAAGCTAAGACTGCTGAACAGTTGTTCACATCGGAGGGCTAAATAGCTGGCCCCCATATCCTGCTCCTCTTAACTTCATTAGGGCCTACAGAATAATGTAGTAAATGGTGGTGTTCACATGAAATATAGCCCAGCAAACTGGTGTGACCACAAAGGCAGCCAACTGTGGATGACATAGTACAGAATTAGATCCTCGATCAGGGATAATGTAAGGACACTGAACCAAGTTCTGTGCAGGGCCCAGCCCAGCCAGCGGATGTTAAACAAGACACTTCTGGATGCCTAATTGGCATTCATTAAATACTTGTTGATAAATTGATTGACTTACTGATTGACACAGTGTCACTGAGAATGCCCAGATGGATGACAAGGCTTTTGATATTAACTCTATTAATATGTCAGTGGCTTAGGCAAGTCTCAATGTTTTCTTGACACAGGATCCTCCTGTCTACAACACAGATGATAGTCACTTGACTATAGCAGTTTTAGGGGAGAAGATAAGACTGAAAAAAGATGAGATTATTGTTGAAGTCTGAGGCATCCCTCTCCCATCAAAATGTGCCAGCACCAGACAGCTTCCACAGGGAGTCAGAGCTTGACAGCTCAGCTGTCTCCCGAAAGGAGAGACAGAGGGCAAATCATGTTCCAGGAGCACGAGGCACAGCCAGGTGCATGAACCCAGCTGAGCAGCAGGGCTGAAGGACTGGCAGTAGCTAAGGAGCACTGAGTGGACAAGCAGGATCAAACCTCAAGGATTATCTGCCTCTAAAACCTTCCCCCTAAACCCTGCTACATCCTATTAGAGCAGTGGCTCTCAAGCTTCAGTGTACATAAGGAGCACTTGGGATACGTATTTAATCTACAGATTGCCATATCCTACCCCAGAGACTCTGAACCAGTAGATTTCTTGGAGCCCAGGAATCTTCACATTAGCAAGTGCTCCAGGTCTAGGACCACACTAAAAGAAGCACTGACCTAAAGGGAACCCATTGAGCTTTGTACTTCTTAATGTCAATGACGAACAATCGTAAATGACACAAAGATGCCACTGGTTCTCATATCCAAACAGTTATAATTTTGGATTTCTCAGTGTCTCGAGGACCAATGACATTCAGAAACATTTCCAAGTATCCATCATGTGAAATGCATTGAACTAAGCAGTGCAAAATATGCAAAGATAAGAACAGTCATGTGCATAAAGAACCACAAAACCAGGCTGACTTTTATAGAATCATCAAGTGCTTAGGCCAGGAAACTTACAGAAGGGAAGGAGTAGTTCTAAATGCTGGGATCTGGAAAAGTACTTTGGAATTGGTGCCGTCTGAGGTGAAGCTGGAAGGAAGGTAGGACTTCAATTTGGGAGGAAGAAAGACACCACTGGCAGAGGGAATGGTTTAAACAAAGGTTTGGAAGCCTAAGAATCCAGAGTGCTGGCCTGTGCCTGGCCTGTGTAGTGTGTCAGAGGGCAGACTGAAAGCAGAGTAAAGGTAAAACTAGAAGGGCCATTTTAGGGGCTTTGAACTATATGATGAAGTTTGATTTTGTTCCAAAGGCAATGCGTGTAGGATTTTGATCAGAAGAATAACTGAAGAGGATTTTTAAAATTAAACAGATAATATCTAATGTTTAACCTAAACATTATTATTCTAAATAGCTAATGTATTTATAAGGCACAGCATTTTAAAGGAACAAGATGGTACATAATGTAAATTTTCTCTCTCTTACATCTGTGTCTCCCAGTCACCTATTTTGGAAGCAACTAATGTTACCAGTTTATTTTGTATGGAAAGGACTGTTTTGAAAAATAGCTAATAGCCAAATATTGGTTGGGCTGGAATGAGGAAGAGGGGACTCATGACAGAAACACCAGTTTGGTGATCTTTTCAGAAGTCTAGGTGATGAAACGAAGGCTTGAAATAGAGTACTCTCAATGCATATAGAACGGGGATTCTGAAAAGACATTTCATAATCCTGTGCTCCCCATGTCCAATCAACTTACAAACTTACAAATGACAAAAGGGAAGTCAAGGATAGTTGAAATTTTGACCTGAGAGTTGAGGAAAGGTAAGGAGGGGAACTCAGTTTGGGACCAGGATATGGGGAGGCTGTGCAGGAAAGATGGGTTCTATTTTGAAAATGTTTGCCTGAGATATAGGACATAGATGCGGAAACGATAAATATCCTGTTGGAAGGGCAGGCACATAGCTTGGGAGAGAGATTGTTAGAAATACTACTGAGGAGTTATGAGCAAAGAGGTGGTAGTTAAAGTTGTAGGATTCTATGAGTTCAGTAAAGAACACATAGCAGATAAAGGGGCTGAGTAGTGAAAAATTCTTACACAAAGGAGGAAGTAGAAGTGGGGCCAACAGAGACTAAAGAGAGATGTTCAGCGAGTGAGTATGCATGTTATTAAATTCTGATGAAGGGGAGAAGTATTTCAAAGGGAGAGAGGTCGGGGGATTTCAGATCAATTCTGCCATCATGGTAATAGGAATGTGATGCACTAAGAAGAAGGGCTGAGAAGAAACCCCTGGGCCACCTGGAGATGAGTAGCTCACTGGTGGGGTTTAAAGGGTAGTTTCTGGAGAAAATAATGCAAGGAAATAGTAAAGGAATGCCAGAGTATGGGGGTGTCCTGTGTAGACCTTTTTCAAGGAATCTAGTGTGAATGGAGGCAGAGAGGATAGATGATGGAAAGAGAAATGAGGTAAAGAACTTTCCCCATAAGTGCAGAGGGAAAGGTTGAAAAGAAAAGGGTGGAGGTAGGGAGATGTTTGATGGAACAAGATCCTGGAAAAGACAGAAGGGGATGAATAAAGGCAAAATTAACAATGAAGGGAAGAAAACCGGAGAAGGTCACACCTAATCTCCTTAGCCATCTCTGCAAACTAGCCAAGATTACCTCTGTGTTCCAGGAGGTATGAGTTTCTGTTTGGAGATTTGCAAAAACAAAACAAAACAAAAACCACACACACACACAGAAAGCAATTTGATAGGATATTGACTTGGGAGAAAAGAAAGAATTTTCAAGAGTCACTGACGTTCCAACTGAGGTTGCACTAAAGAAGCTACTCATGTGAGTAGCTTCCATTAGCTTCCAGATCTTTCTTTAATTTCTCCCCCACAGTCACAGTCTCAAAAGAACTGTGCTTAACATTAAGAGTTTGACCTCTTTGGACAATCTGGGAAATGTATTCAAGAACTATCAGGTTCTTTCTGTGACACATAAAAAGAAGCAAAGGAAGGAATGTAAAATGCCTTCTAGACAGGTTTCTGGAAATCAATGATTGGTCTGTTATTTAGGTACGTATGCAGTGATATTTGGAAAGAGAACTTAAATATCTCTAGCACACTAGGCTGATCAGTTGTGATTTATCAGCATCCTGTTAAAACTACCAAAAAGATATCTGCAAATAATTTATTGGGTCAGGATCAGAGATGAGTGGAACCAGTGTGTCTCCCTGTGACTGAGACCACTATTAGTGATTCTCCAAGCACAGAGGGGCATACCATCCTCCTTCTCTTCTCTTCCCCCTCTTTTATTTTCTCTCATCCATCTGAATTGACTCCCCAGATATGAAGGAAAGGCAAAGGAGCAGCTCCCTGCTAAATTAAAAGAGGTTATAATGGGGACATGTCCATTGTGAAGAACTATGTGCACCCGAGAGGATTATAAAGACCTGCAAACATACTCATGATTTTGTCCCCAGGCTTCATTGAGCAATATATTTTAGCTTGCTTTTTTTCTTTCTATATTGCACTGGACATTATCTTTTTTTTTCAATAGCACTTCATTTCACAGAATAAATCCTTCTCCATAAAAATGGTTTACACCATGCCTGCCTCAAGCAATTGTTATGTTAAAAAAAAAAAAAAAAAAAAAAACAACTTTGCAATCACGTTTAAAATGAGACATTTATTCCTTCATTCCTAAATGTGAGTTGACTCCTTGGGAGTATGTTGTCATTTTTTGTGGTTTTATTCCCTGAGTTACAGTGATGTGTCTGTGGCACCCACGCTGCATATTTCCTCCTTAGATTATGTGTTAGGTGATCAAAACACACTCTCCTAAGGCGATGCTGCCCTCAAGTGGTCTAGTCTGAGAATAGTCAACTGCTTTCCTCTGAATGCAAACTGGGTTTCCATCCCGACCTGTTTGGCTGAAGCGTTAACTCCTGAAAGGAAAAATAATAATTAATTATGTGCCAGTTCTGGGGCACAATAATTATGAGGTACATGAGGAAAAAGGAAGCCTTTATTTCCCAAGAAGACCCCAAAAGACATAGGAGTAAAATGGACGACAGCAACAACCACAAGCTTGTTTTGTTAATTATCAAGTAACTGGCTACCTGTATGTGACCATGAGGACTAGGGTGGGCTATGAGTTGAACTGGCCCCCTTATGCCTTTAGGGCCAATCCTCAGCTCCTCTAGGGCAACCCCCTAATCAGAACTTATGACATCATATTCTATAATTAAGGACATACATTGTTTGGAGACAACGCATTCAGGGAAAACATTCAACTCTTCCATGCGACCAAGACTCTCAGAAGAGAGGTCAGTAATTATAGTGATTACATTAATCACAAGGATTGCTGCACGGAGGAGGATAGTGACATGGCTACCCTATGATGAAGCTCTGTGGGGGGTCTGCTCTAATTGGCCACCACCAAAAGTCTCTCATGCCTATGATTAACTTCTCTGGTTGTTTACGTGAGCAGGCTTAGGAATTATGCTGGGTTGTTCTGTGCAGGGCTTATGAGACAGGTTGGTTGCAGGGCTGTTAGGCTGCTCAGCTAGAGAGCCCATCCTGGAACAAACAGGTCAGATAAAAACACATGCCTTTGTGCTGTCCTTCATGGTTTGTTGCATTGTTTCTGGTGCTTTGGGTGATTTCTGTTAATCACGAATCTCCTTCAACAAAGATTTTTGCATGGAAAATGCTAGTTCCTCTAAACTGCTCTTGGGCACAGAGATAAACTAGACCAGCCCAATGAGCAGAAAAGAGTGCTTTATCTAGCAGTTATTTGGTGCTGTGGGGAAAGCCCAGAAAAAGGAAACTGTGCTTAGTAACTTGAGATTGAGAATCAGCTCTGCCACAAACTGGGTATGTAACTGTGAGCAAGTCACTTAAGCATTCCAGGCTCAGTTTCCACATAGGCAAAGTGTTTCATCTAACTCAGATTAGGGGTTCACAGGCTTATGTGGAGATGGTATGCCACACAGACCACCACCAGGATGAGGCCTAAGAGGCAGTGTTCCCTTTCCCTCCCCTCTTTAACTAAACCAGGTTCACTGTTATCCATTGGAATCTGAAAACCACTGAATTCCAATATGTGCTTCTTTCCCAGCTACTTTATGCTGTGATAGTTATAGATACTCTGAATGGTGATGTTGACACTTATTGATCAAGTTCTTTTTTTTTTCAAATTGTAAGTGAAATCATATATGTGTCTGTTAATTTACAAGTCTAGTTTCTGATAAAATTAGTCCAACTGGTAAAATGATGGCACGTGTGGGTGTGTGCTGGGGAAGGGAGGAAAGAAAGAAGTAACAAGTCTCACTATGGTCCCACAGCTTCCAGGATGACGCAGGTCAGGGAAGGATCTAGGTAGACCTTGCCAAGCCAACAGTAGACAGTTCTAGGAGTGTGGATAGACTCTACCAGAAAAGCCAGCCAGAAAATTGATGGTTCTAGTCAAGGAACACTCCAGAGAAGCTCCAAAGGCACATCGGCAGACTAACAAGGCTTTTCACTCTGCCTCCAGAAGACATATTAGGTCTGAGTAGGCCCCCAAAAGAAAAATACATTAGAAAGAGTTGAAAATCAAGATTTCCACAAAACAGAGGAAAAAGTTTTACTAAAATATACTATAGATGGGTATATATGTCATTATTAATAGCAGTCATCATTAATTAAACTAGTATGATTTATTTTCAATCAGGAAGTTTTCCCTTTAAGTTAGCTTTAAAACAACATATACTATGCAATGTATCCAACTTCATTTTTCAAGCCCCAAAACAGTTTTTTCCTCTACAGTGCTTAAAGATAATACAAGTGTGGATGAATGATGGTTGAGCTCCAGTCTCCTTTCTTGAGAATAACACAGGGCACAGACCAAGCAACAGACCAAGGTGCTCAGAATTATGAAATGTCCACTCTTTTTAGGTCAAGTATACTGAGTGCAGTATATAAACTTCCTGACCTCTTTGTGTTTTTATGTCACCATCTGTAACCTGTAATTATAGACAGGTTATACCTTATTAAAGTAATTGCTCAGACTATAATTCCTGGTTATATGAATATCTGAAGTACAATTTGTATGGCCTCCTGCAATAGATGCCTCTATTGCTACCCTGTCATTGTGCGGAAAATATAGACAATGAAAGGATATCCATCCAGTGAACAAATATTTACTGAGCATATATTATTGGCAAGACATTGTCATAAACAATATGGAAATACAAAGGCCAGGCATAGGCCTTGCCCACAAAGTGCATGTAATCTAGTAAAAAGTTGCATGTGTAAGCAACTAGAAAATAAGGCAGCCAGTAATAAGTACTTGATAGACAAGATGGTAGTATTTGATTCTGACTTAGAGTTGAGGGTGGGATTTTAGATCACTGTCACAGGAAAGGGGTTTACAAAGTAAATTGCATTGAGACAGGGCCCTACAGCATGCAAAGACTTTTGTAGGTGACAAAATTCTTTCTTTCCATAGGAAGAGAGAACATGCTAAGCAGGAATGGCACAACAACACTATAAGTAGGAAAGCATAGACACGATTCAAGAGATAGCTGAGCAGGAGAGGGTGTGGCGGGTAAGGGAGAATAGTAGAAGGCAAGTCAGGACAGGAAGGTCAGAGCCATATTCTAGGGGTGTTTGTGTTTTGTGTTAAGGAGATGAGAGGTGCCATGGAGCTGCAAGCCAGAAAGCAAAATGCACAGAATGATTGGAAAGGGAAAGAGAACGATCCACAATCTCCTCTGGAGTATATCGCATCAATCCAGGTGTTAAACAATAAAGATTTGAACCAGAGCAATGGCATCAGAAACTATGTATGAATGCACATATGTGTGTGGGGCAGTGTTATTGAAAAGCAGAATTCAATTCAAGGGCACTACATAGGATAAAACAGTAAGTTGGACAAGGGGATTAGAGTCCTACACATAAAAAGGTTACAGGCACTTTTCAACAAATGGGCTAAGTGTGTGTGTGTGTGTGTGTGTGTGTGTGTGTGTGTGTCAGGAGTATTTCACATGAAATATACAAGTATACTTGTACCTATGATTAGTCATAAAGTCCTGGCATAATTTTTCAAAATAAAGAACTTTTTAAAAAAATCTGGAAACGGAGATTTGATTGGGCACTGATAATCATTACCTTGTAAATGAAGTTGAATGTTTTTTTCCATTTCAGCAAATCATTGGGACAAGTGGAAAATCCACTGGAATACATACATATATATACAGTAAACAGAACAAGGTAATATAAATTACCCTGATTATTCATAAGCCAACTGGTGAAAGGATAAGGTATACCCAAAATTTCCCTGCAAATGGTTTGTCATGTTTTTCTTGTCAAAAAATTAATGTTAGACCCAACATTTCTGTGTTTTACTTCACTTTTTACTATGCTAGGGAAAATGCCATATTTTATTTTTGATGCAACTGAACAAGTAGAGAAAACGATTATCTGGAATTCTAAAAAGTAAGTAAAGTGTCAACAAGATACAGTAATTCAGTCAATCAGCAACTGCAGGTTAAATGCTTGTTTTGAGGGCAACTTTCTGCTAAATTGTGGGGAACAAAGGGAAAGATGAGACTTGGCTAGTTCCTAGAGAAGCTTGAAATTTAGATGGGCAAATCTGGCCAAGAAGCAAGGTGCAACTAGAAAATCAATAAGTTATGATATCATAACCCATTGACGTTTTCAAGGAATTCACCTAAAAATCTTAGAAAATTCCCAATCCACAAATTCTACAGTAGCATATAATTCCCTCATAAAATATTCATGCAACAGCAAGTTGACATCAACAAAACTATGTTGGACTATATATGAGGTCCTATTTGCTGGGTTCACTCACGTGGCTAGTAACCTACTACCTGGAACCAGGCTTGCAGAACTCCTGAGTGGAAGTTATGTCTTTGCAAGATTATAAGTGGCAATGCCATAAACCTACAGGGTTGCTTTAGAGATGTCAAAACTGGGATTGCTAACACTGTACAAGGTCAAGCACTAATCAGCATGATGTATGTTCAAAGGAGGCCTACAGAATGGAGAAATTTCTATAGAGCAGAGTTGATGCTCCACAGACAAGGTAGGATTATGATCCAGACATGCCTGATTTCTAGCCTCTGGAGCTCTTCCCTGCCTTTAGTAGAATGGCTGGAACCCACCCACAAGGCTAGTGCCTCCTCAAGTCACTAGAGTCAATCCAGTTATGGGGCAGGAAAGATTTCAAAAGCTCTGGTAGAGGACAGGAGTCTATTAATAAATGGCAGGCTCCACAGCAGGCACTTTTCTATTTTTGCATCAAATCTGTAAAATATTTATTATTCTCCTCACTTTTATGTACGAGGAAAGCAAGGCTCACAAAAGTTAAAGGACTTGTGTCTGATCATACAGCTAGTGGCAGGAGAATGAAATTCAAGTTCAAAGGCATTTACTATGGTAGATTCCTTCTCAGGCTCTGGAGCACATATTCTTAGCCCTGTGTTTTTTGGGGTATGAGACTGTGTCACTTAATGCTGGTTGGCTCTGATCCAGAGTCCAAGTTTTGATGATTAGGCTTCTGCCTTGTGCTAGGGAACTAATCCTGTAACTATATCCCTGTGTGTCTCACTGTTTGTGACTTAATTGTGCCCTTAATAAATTGGGTGGTAACCCAGCTCTTCTATGACAGGAATTTCCCCTTGCATCTCCTCCTCATTCCCAGGGGTGAAAGTCCTGCCTTGAATTTCACCTGATTGCTTGGACTCTGCTACCACTTGTTAGTAGATATCCCAAGTGCTGTCTGTGTGTACCCTTAAGTTCCTCATAATGGTTGTATTGGATCCTTCATCTCTGTTTGTCATTCATATGCCAGCCCATTCCCACTCTTAAAGCTTGACTTTTTTCTGAAAGGAACTCCTTACCCAGACAACCCCAAATTTTCTCTTGCCATACTTGCCCAATCTCTATTCTACTTGTTGATTTGTCTTCCTTCTAGCACTAGCACTACATAGATTTTGGGATCTGTCACCCAAATTATTTATTACTCTGTGTGCTGGTCTTTGTCTAGCTCCTTTAGCCCAATGACTGAGTGATGTGTGGCCCACAAGGTAACTATGGCAGAACAGTGGTGGGAAAGAGTCCCGTGTATGCCTGGAGGTGCAAAGGGTAGCCTCACATGGGTGGAAGGTGTGTGTGACAGGTTGTTGAAAGCAAGGGTGGATTACTGGGGTGGAACCATATTGAAAACAGTTTTGAATGCCAGAATGTAACATTTGGCGGTCATCCAGTAGTGATGAGAAATTATTATTGGTTTGTAAGCACTCTAGGGAGATTAGTCAGTGTGTAGCATGGACTAGACAGGAGATGACTGAAGACAGAGAAACAAGGAAACCATTAAAGTTCTGCAAACACAATGTGATGAGAGCCTGGATTAGCGTTACCTGCAATAACCCCAGGAAGGAGATAAGAGACAACATTTGAGGCAAAACTGCAGGCTTAGTGAGAGATAGGGTATGTAGAGAAGCAGAAGTCAAGGATGAATCTAAAGTCCTAATAATGGTGATGCTATTGGTAGAAGAAAGAAATCTTGGGAAGGAATCAAAATCTAGGGGAAGAAACCCTAAAATCTCAGCTCTCTTTTCAAAATTTTCAGTATTAACATTGATTGTATTTGAGAACACTGCTAGCAAGTATCCAGGCAAAGGGATGTGTTACAGTCAATCGAATTGTTGAGTTAAGACTAGAAGACAAATGAACAATCAAGGCTAAACATATCAATTAGGGATAGATGTGGGAGAAGTCACAGGTGTGGACAAGTGAACTGTGAGGGAAGTCAAACCTAATCTGGCAAGAAGTCCACAGTTTTCCACAATATTCTGGGTCTGGGCCTCTGCTGGGCCAGTGGCCAAGGATGGGCAAGAGAGTCAAGGATGGATTGTATATTCACAAACAAGAAAGCCTGTTATATAACTTGGCTCTAAAAAGAGCCACCACTACAATTAGATATGGGATCTCTAGGGCCTGAGAACCTCAATAATATAACACCTGTGTGAGATTTTCTATCTCATCCCACTGAGAGAAGCTACAGATGCCACTTGCTATGGCTGATTCCCTTTGGGCACTAAAATTTATTATCCCACTTAAAGGTGTTGTAGAAATGCCTCTTTTCTTAGATCAAATGTAATTATTGTCCAGGTTTAATATTCAGCTATGTTTAAATCTCATTCTCAACTCTCTTTTCAAAAATTAAAATCATATGACCAAGATAAACTGGTTAATGATTTAAGTCAGCGTTCTCAGCTGTAAAATGGGAACAATAATACCTGACTCCTCCTTTCGTGAGGAAAGAAGAATCTTAAAACAGATCAATGAAGAAATTTACATGTGTTAAACTATGTTCTGAGTGATGTTAGATTGCTTATTTCAGTGGGGTTTGTTTAGCTTTTATGTACTACGGCTACTGATTGGTGTAGACTATATAGCTTTTATGTAACTTCTGGACCAAACTAAGCTTCTTTTAGTTCTGATACTAATTAATATCCAAAATTGTGGTTAAGAAAATGAAGGGGAAGGAGAAAAAAATGTGGCTATTTATGGTGGGCTCTTTTGTGGGGAGGGAATTTTTTGGCTATGAACTGGCATTTGCCCAATAGTATTCTGAGTTCAGTAAATAACTCAACACACACGGGTTAAATTTCCAATGAAAAACATGAAGCTTAAAAAGTAAGTGGAAAGTACTTGGCAAGATACATATTTACATTTGGTGAAGGGAAATTTTTATGGTGGTTAGCCAAACCTGACATGCACAGGGATTAATTCATCCTCACTTATCACAGAAACAAAAACTGCCAGTATCATATCATATGCACTATGCTATGGCTTTCTCTTAAAAATCGGCACCACTGTGAAAGGAAGCTGACTTCTGTGTGCACACAGTGCAAGTGTATGCCTTACTAGAATCATTATATATTTTTATATATATGTATAATAAAAACTACTTTTTAAAATGCTGAGAAAATCTTATATTTGAGGTACTATAATTTTATTATTAATAGCATAATAGAAACCTTGAATTATTAATTATATAATTGATGGAATTCATATAATAATTAACAGAATTCACATAATAATATAGAATTACTAATTCTATAATTCTGATTTATCCAAAAATTCAAATGTTTTTCACTCTACAGACGCTCCTCAACTTACAATGGGACTATGTCCCATAAAACTCATCATAAATAAAAAAAATATATAAGTCAAAAATGCATTTAATGTCTGGATAAGCCCATTATAAAGTTGAAACATCGTAAGTTGAGCTATCATAAGTGGGGACCATTGGTACTTGCTGTCTGCAGAAAAAGTGGTGTGAGTGGGGAGAAAAAACAGGTAAGCAAGCGGGGACAGCCAGCTTACAAAATATATATTTCTGATCCTATGATATCTTGTTTCCAATTTTCAAATGAAAGACACTGAAATTATTAAGCACCCACTCTGTGATGAAAAGTAAACTGAGCTTTGAGGAGATTTCTGTAGCTTGCCCAAGGTCACAGAACTAGATTTAAACTTAGAGATGTATAACTTAAAATTGTAGGCAGTGGGCAAAACAGTTTCACCCTTGCTGTCTCTGTAAACCTGACAACAATCCTAAAAGGACAATGCTGGAAGTGATGGAGAAAAAATAAAGCCAGCACCAAAGAGACAAATTTGCTAGTTTCCCTTCTGAGTTGGTTTAGAAAAACTGCTCTTGCAGTTTGGAGGGTGTGGAGGAAAAGAAAAAAAAAAAAAAAAAAAAAAACACAAAAAGTGTTTTATTTTCCCATTTGGGGAAATGTAAGGGAATCAGATTCTGCTTGGAAGCTCAGAATTCCCCCCCCCCCGGCTTTTTTTTTTTTGAGACAGGGTCTCTCACTTTGTCAGCCAGGCTGGAATGCAGTGGCATAATCACAGCTCACTGCAGCTTCCACCTCCTGTGCTGAAGCCATCCTTCCACCTCAGCTTCCTCAGTAGCTGGGACTACAGACACACACCACTACACCCAGCTATTTTTTTTTTCTTCTTTTGTAGAGATGGGGTCTCCCTATGCTGCCCAGGTTGGCCTCAAACTCCTGGGCCTAAGTGATCCTCCCACCTCTGTCTCCCAAAGTGTACAGGCATGCATGAGCCTCTGCACTTGGCCTCAGAACTGTTTTTATAAGTACAGTTAAATATTATTCTGTCTCCTCTCTTTCCTTTATGTTCTGATGGAAGTTCTCATCAGAAGTGAGGAT